GTGTTCACCGGCTTTCTGTCCGTCGTCGTCCCCCCCCGCCGCCCCGGGGCTTTCTGCCGGGCCTCTCCGGCTCACATCTGGAGGGAAGGGGGCTGGGGAGATGTACACACACACCCCCGGTACTTGCTCCGCGTACGTTTTCGCGAGGGTCTGGCTGAATTTTGCCGTTTCTGGGTTGTGTTAGCACCGTCATCTCACCGCGGCGGGGGGGGGGGGGGTGAGGATGGGGCTGCCCTGGCCTAACAGCTGGAGCCCCGCTGCGATGTTCAACAGCTTGATGTAAATAAACGGGGGGGTGCCCGTGAAATCGGCGCTTGCCCCAAGTGTTTAAAGCGTGCTGCGAGCCTGTTATTTCCCGAGGAACTAATCGTAGCTGTAGGGCAGCTCCTCGCCTCGCTGAAATCATAAATGGGCTTCCTTTAATTACAAGCCGCTTTTCTGGCAGTGTTCAGGCAGCTGACACCCGCCGCTGTCAGGAGGGATTTGGACTTTGGCTCGGCTGTTGCTCCTGCAGCCAGCTGTGCGTGAAAGGCGCAGGACAGCTCCTGTCCACATCTTATTCATGCGTTTCTCTCCTTTTCTCGGGCAGGCGTGATCTGGAGTGGTTTCCCTCATTCAGCTCAGGGAAATCACAGACTCCAGTCTTCCACCTCTGCGTAAGCTTTGATCCCTGTTTCAGTGCAGGAGTTGAGAGGAGGACAGACAGGAGGGAGGGGGAATCTTTCCAAGGCAAGGGGAAAGTTTTGCCCATGGACAGTGGCTGTACCTACCCCGAGGGTTGATAAATGACTTGGCTGAGTGACTGCAGGAAAACAAGACTCTTACGTGACTTAGGCCAGCTCCTCAGGCCCAGGCTTTCCGGAGCGGTAAACACTCTGTCCGCCTCCCTGTGTGTACGATCCTGTTGTCTTTCTAGTGCGTGCATTTTCTGAACTATTCTTGGCATCTGCAAACATGGGTCAGACCTGTTGGCATATTTGCATGTTTGTTTAGAAAAATGTTCCCCCCCCCCCCCCCTCCCGCCCCAGTCCCAATGACATGGTTGTCTGGAGTCTAGTGGTCTTGGCCGAACACGGCATATGCTTAACACAGTGAATTATCTGACCTTGAGCACGTGCAGCTCGTTGCACAAATACAGCCAGGCTTCTGAGCTACGGAACCGAGTGTTGAGCAATGTACCGAGAATGGTATTTCTCTGAATCGCTCCGAGTGACTTTCTCAAGTCATATGGAGGATTGTCACGAGCTGAATTTCACAGATTGGGTTTAGAACGAGCAGCTTGAAGGAAGAAAAAGCAGCTAAAAGTAATCTCTTTCCAGCTCAGGTCTGAAGTGCGTGTTAAATATTTGCTTGCATGAGGATTTCTGTAGGTAGTGCTACAGAAATCCCATCTGGACGTGGGTTACGGGGCTCCCTCCTTGGTTCCGTTGTTTTGCTGCGTTGTGAGGGGCTGCCAAAGTGGTCTGCAAGCCGTGTGCCTTTTTCTTTCATTCCTTTAGCATGTTTAAGTAGTTTTTCCAGAACAGGTTCCAGACATTGTTGGAAGTAACTGCTTGGTTTTGCCATTTCCACGTAACCTGTTTCTTTGAAGGGAGGTGTTAGAGCCTTGGCGTTTCAAAGCACATTCGGAGCTGTATCGCTTATGTCAATGATTTCCTGGATAGGCAGCTCATTTTCACATAGCCAGTGACCTTCCTTGAAAGCCACTCTTCAGTGACAGAGATTATAAATTTGAAGAGCGGGTCCAAGGCAGACGGTGGTTTTGAATTTACAAAGACCTCCTGTTTGTATTTTTCGTAAAAGTGCGTAGCTGCTTGTGGAACACGTGTACTTCTAATTTACTTTGTGTGTCTGAAACGATGCAGAGGTGCTAACACCCAATAGTTGGTATTCCTTGTCAAGAAACCATATACCGATCAATGTGCGGTGAGTAAATGGAGTTGTCTGCCTCGTTTGCCTTGTATAGTATAGTCCTTCCTCTGCAGAGAAATGTCGACCGACTCATTAATGAGAATCCAATTAGCAGGAAAGAGAGGGAAGGGAAAGGTGCGGGAGACGACAGAACCGTCACGCAGGAGAGATCTCCTCCCGTATTAGCTGTCCCTACCTGGCCAGGTCACCTCAGCACTTGGTTATTTCTTGTATAACTGGTCCGGGACAAGGTCCAGGTCCAGGACCTTGCCCGCGTGCCAGCTACACAGAAGCAGAGCTGCGGTGGAACTCCATGGAAAGGTTCGGATGGTCCAACACCTTGAGTGTAGCACAGAGAGAGTACATCAGGGAAAATAACACAGGGATTGTTCCTCGGGGGGGAGCGGTGTTACAGCTCTGTGTTTTTCCCATCCGTCTTGGCACATGGTTGATAGTATCGCAGGACTTTGTTGTAGTTTGTCAACTAGTGGATTGGAGAAACCCCTCCAGACTTGCTGGCTGCAGAGAGCAGGGAGCAGATGTACGCAGCTACGGGTAATGAGGTTACGCTGACAAATAACATGAGAAAAACGCTGCTGAATTTGTACGACGTTAAGTTGTTTTTCTGAGTGACCAATGTGCTTTACGATTCCCCCTCCTTTTTTGAGTCTTTTGCAGAATGCTCGTGTTCTGTGTTAGCGCTTGCATGGCCGTTAAGGGATATCTTGACCATGTCTGTGCATGAGGAGCTCAGGTTTGGTTTTACCTCTGCATGGAAGCAAGTAGGTCAACATCTAGTATGCAATTACACATACCCTCTCTATGTGTGTCTGTACACATGTATCTTGCTGCAGTTGATCCTCTGGGGATGCGTTTTGAAAGGTCTGGCCACGCAGATTCGTGGGGCCATCAGAGATTGCTTACCTAAATCCTGCTTTTTCCAGCTAAATCCGGTTGTAAGGCAGGGAATGCTTCAGGAGATGCCTATCTGATTATCGGGGTGAAAATCCAGCGTGAGTGCAAAGGTCAGGGTGTAGGCACCCTGTCTAGGAAACCGTCAGTCACAAATAAACCATTAATAAACTTAGACCTAGAAGGTGATGTGCGAGTCTCATCGGTTTAGTGCCTCAGCTTATTTATTATCCAAATGGCGATAATATTTAAAAAAAGGGGGGGGGGAAGAAGTCTCGCCGGTTATGACTCTCAGTTGAACTTGATGCGGGGTGGAACGTCCCAGCGTTATCGAGCACAAAGTTAATTGCCTTAACAAAGTGCACTAAACCCTCCTCTGTTTAAGGAAACCTCATCAGAATCGCAAGAATTGCTCGCTTTGTTGAGCGAGAGGATGCCTGTGACGACCCGGTTCTGGTGAAGCACGTGGTGGTTTTAAAAAGGAGTACGACTCTGACTCCTACCTAAAATAGTTGTTCAAATTATTAGTATATAGCTTGCCGGGTCATTTCTGACAGAAAAACAGAGGCTGTCTGTCTTGTTCCCCCGTTCTCTCCTCTGCTAAACCAAATATTGGGAGCGCGTCCATCTCTTCGGGAAGGCTGTTCGCAGCCTTCTGTCAACAGAAGGAGCGCGAGAAGTCCCCGGTTTTGTCACCTTGTTGTTTTCTTACGACACCTTTGCAACTCTTGCACCGAGATGGGGAGGATTGCTGATTTATTGGCTTGGTTTCAGCGGCACAATTCCGTTGAGGTTCTCGTTGCAGAGGCCGCGGTTTGCCACATAATGTTCCTTTGCGGAAGGGTGCTGCCACACCTTTGGAGCTGAGGTTTCTCTGTGTGCTTTTTTTAAAAATCCCGTGACTTGAGCTTAACAGCAACAACAAGAAAACTCCACCTGTGGGTCGAGGATGATCTTCGTCGCTGAGGATGCCAAACTCCCAAATCGGAGCAGGGGTTCAGGTTCCGCTGGCACTTGAGGAGGCTGATCCTTCCAAATGGAGGAGGACGGGGGAATGCCCACACTTGAGCACCTTTGCCCTTGGTCATTTCAGGCAGATGAGTCCTTTTTTAAAAGGAACTGACTAAGTAGTGTGTAACGTGCTTGCTAAACACCAGATCGAGCTACTCGGGCAGCTAGGGAAATGGCGCTCAGTGAAAGGTGGCTGTGTGTGGGTATCAGAACTGCCGTTTCTATACATGGAAATCCATTTGGTAGGTCAAGTTGTCCGTATCTGGCTTTCTGTTCAGCTTTGAACCGGGGCGCAATTTTAGAAAAACAGGCCTCGGGTGGGACTGAGGACAGGCGCTGTTACTGCCCGCCGTCAGCGGCCAATTTCGCCCTGGGATATAATCCTGCGGCACGCTTTGTTTCAACGTCCTAACCTGGCGGGTTGGGTGTTTGTTGGGGGAACGACTTTGGGCCGCATTTGCTTGGTTACCGACGAGCAGACTGGAGCATCAGGATGGCTTCTGACTGTGTATTTGATCTTACAGGTACGTGGGGAACCTGTCCAGAGACGTGACCGAAGCTCTAATCCTCCAGCTGTTCAGCCAGATCGGACCATGCAAAAACTGCAAAATGATAATGGATGTAAGAGCCTTCACCTGATGATTTTCATGTTTCTCATAGCTCGTGGCTTTGGGTCGTGCTTGCGTGTTTCGGAATTCCACTGGAAACATGGCGTGATCACGTTAAAGGGCCACAGTAAGGCTGGAGATGACAGTCGTGTACTTTTGGCATCGTTTCTGCCTCGTACCTGATGTTAAATTTAAGGCTGTGTGGATATTGGGAGAGGGGGTGAACGGGTTAATATACGTGGGTGTCGTAGATGATATTTGGGAAGTTCTTTGCCATGCTTTTACCTTTCTAAAGCAGACCTGAAGCCTCCGTGGCATTGTTAGTGCGCTGACTGTGGTCTCTGCATAGAGTAAAAAAGCCTATCCGTTTTGAGACCTTTAGATGTAATGAATAAGGAGCTGAGTAGAATAGCGAGAGTGTGGTTTGAAGAGGTTTGTATCGGTAATCCTTTGTTTCTTTCTTTCATCAGACAGCTGGAAACGATCCGTACTGTTTCGTGGAGTTCTATGAGCACCGGCACGCGGCCGCAGCGCTGGCTGCTATGAATGGCCGGAAGATAATGGGTAAGGTAAGCTGTCATGTCTACAGGGTGAGTTGGAGTTGAAAACAGGCTATCTCAGATGGCGCGGGTGAAATATCACTTGAGATGAAATGGATACACTGCAGATGTTAGACGCTTCGTTTGGACGGAGGTCTTAACGTGACGTGACTAAGAAGAAAAGCTGTTCACGCTGTTATAGGAGGAATGCAGAGGGGGGTGGTGTAGAACCGGGAGGGCTCAGAGGCCGCAGGAGTAATGAGGATTTTAACTCTGCCGACCTTATCGGGACCATGTCCCTCTCTCCCAACCCCTGCAAAAAAACGCGCCCGAGCAAACCAAATCTCCAGACCAGATCTGGTTCCCATCTTTGCTCTTAAGCAGCGAAACACGGTTCGGAAGAATGAACCCTCTCCTGAGAAATGGGTCCTAAACTTGAGCTTTCACCCCAGACTCGCACGTCTGGTGCCCCTGTAGCGTCAGAATGAAGCTCTGGAGGCATCTGAGTTTAGTTGGGATTTGCGTGATCTAACATGAGCGACTGATGTTTGCAGGAGGTCAAAGTGAACTGGGCGACGACCCCCAGCAGCCAGAAGAAAGATACCAGCAGTAAGTGTCGCTTAACGCTTTGAGTACGTGTTTGATTTGTACGAGTAATTTTTAAACGTAAACAGTAAGCATCGTACAGTTATATGCAGTAATGTTTTGATCATAATCCTAAGATATTATTTAATGTGTTTGTGTTAATAAACTTAAGAACAAATCTAATCTTTGTCATCAGGTAGTACCGTTGTCAACACACAGCGTTCACAAGGTAATTGTATCTTCTTAAACATAAAATGAAATCTCTCAAGGGTATTCACTAACCACCTGGAGCTATGTATGGGGTTTTTGTTAGTTATGAATTTATTTTTTGTGGAAAGACTTCCCTTTTGTTTCCCTATAGCATCAGAAAGTGATGTAGCGTCCACCGTTCAGTTCTGGTGCTAATCTCTGCTATCGAGGCAGAACGGTTGGCTCCCCATGAGGCTGCAGTATGCGCTCCTGCAGGCAAGCTCCTTGGGAGTACCTAGACTTTTTCCAAAATCGGGCTCCACGGCTCACGGCGAGCCTGCGGATTGCTGCTTTTCTCGGCAAGCTTTGAATTTCCGTAGGCCGGTGGGGCTAAACTACATTGGCGTCCGAGTGGACTCGAGAGTCTCGTACCTGCTGTAGTACAAATAACTCTGCATATTGCTAGGATGGTATGTGACGCTTTGTTTGATTGTAGCGGAAAACTCCTTAGATACAGGACTTCTGTTTCTCTTTGGTGCCTGTTTTTTATGGCTCTGACATAAGTTGAAGGGATTACTGTTTCCATTCTGTTGCCTTCAGTCTTAGTTCACTTGCACGTGGATTCACATACATTGAATTCACGTGGATTCACGCAGTGTATTGGCTGGGCAACCGAAACTGTTGGCTTTTGAGAGCTCAAATGCTTTACCAGCAAACTGTTGCAATGCAAGGTGTTTTTTTGATTTGTTCTTCACGACCTACAGTGTTAACCCGGACGTTGTGGCTAGGTTCAAAATACATCCCGCTCTAGAACGAGCGTTACTCTGCGCTTCTTGAGACGGCTAGACGTTTCAGCTGATTGGATTTTGAATAGCTAGCGATCTGCCGTGTCAAAGCTTAACAGGAGCGTACGGAGAGAAAGATTTTCGAGTAGCCTCGGCAGATTAAGTAAATAGTTTAAGACTTTGTACGGTAAATGCCGACTGGTCTTAAAAGCGGTTTGTAAAATACAAAACGTAAATGCCATATGTCGCTGTGGTAGCCTTAAAATCACTGACTTTGTAGCACTGCCAAGCAAAGGATCTCTTAGGAACGGCAGTAAATTCTGTTTTATAGTAAATGCTAGTGTTTGTGTAGTTTTTAATAATAGCTGGAGAGCCGTGCTCTGTGAGATCGCTACGCTCTGTGCGCGCGCGCGTTCAGGGGCCATCTTCAAACGTTAAAACCTTTTTTTCTCTTTTTCCCAAAAAGACCATTTCCATGTCTTTGTCGGAGACCTCAGTCCAGAAATTACAACTGAAGATATAAAAGCAGCTTTTGCGCCATTTGGAAGAATATCGTAAGTAATTTCTTAGGGCAAATAAACTAAAAGTTATCTCTCCTAAATGGAGGCAGCCTTATGTTTCAGTAAGTAAAAAAAGAGAGTTGTCACAGTGCAGGAATACTCATTCATCTGTTCATGCAGCGACTTGAGTCTGAAAGGCCGGGCATTAAGTGGGAATGTGTAACCCAAATTCCTTTATAGTAGTTTGTTCTGCTCTCCTAGAAAAGTTGCATCCAACTTGCTTTGGTTTTATACTCCTTGCCTCGTTTGGCAAAGCAACGCTGGAAAAAAATTGACTCCTAAAACCTGGGGTTTGCATTTCACTGGCCCTCTCGGCGATCAGATCACCATCACGCTGTACAGTTTGTGACCGAGTCCATTTGCACGTTCACGTCTTGAGAGGCTTTGGATTTTTTGTTAGCCGTGGTGTGCCGGCCACCGGTAGCCAACGTGTTTTTTGCCGTTAAATTCCCATGTCCCGCAAAATGAACCTTTTTTAGCACCAGACTCGTTGGGGCAGCCGGAGGCTGCAGCTAGAGCAGCCTCAGAGCGTTGGGCACTGGGTCAGCGTAAGCCCTTGACCCGAAGGGCTCGGCCAAAACCGCGGGGCATCTCGGGTCAAGGAGTCGCACTCATCCCAGAGGTGCAGAGCGATGTCGTCACAAGCGAACGCGTTAGAAACGGGGAACGGCGCTGGCAGCTCTCTGCCTGCCAGTTTGTTGTATTCAGGGTGTAGCAGAGTAAGGAGCGGTTCATTCATTCCATCCTCCGAATGTAAACCATTAATTTTCCTTGTAGTGTTGTCTGTACTGGACATTGAAGTTTCTTGATGGTGATGTAAGAGAACATAGAGTGCTTTGGAGTGTTGTGTAGTGAAGCATTTAATTGAAGTAAGTTTGTTTTTTGTTTTTTTTTTTTTCCCCTCAGAGTCCAGTGTATTACTCTCTTAAATGCCAGCTTGATTTCCTCTTATGATAAGGTTTAAAAAAAAAAAAAAATGTGATCTGAATGTGACTCGCTTCAGACAACTCTAATGCTTGACTGCATCTTTTGTGTAATTGTCATCCAGGAAATGCAGAGGGTTGGACTCCTAAGGAGAGTCAATTTATCCTCTGGCCAAATGCGGTCTGGATGGAAGGGACGAGGGGCTCTAAAGCAGAGCTGAACCGGAATGAGCGCGAAAGGGAGGCAGTAATAGACGGCCGCGTAGGTGGGACTGCAGTGGAGCTGTGAAAGAGTTTCCCCTAACTGAGTTAGTGCTGGGTTTCTGAGGCGACAGTTCAATGGACGGTCGCCTTTAACAAACGACCCCCCCAAAACCACAAAACCCCTCCCGAGCCTGAAGCAAAAAGTAACATCTGAAAGTCAGCTGGGGGAGCGTAAAATCACCGCGAACATCAGTCCATGGTCCGTATTTCTGGGGCCGTGCCCGTTGTCCCATCTTTTCTAGAAGAGCTTTTTGGACGCACAGCTTTTGCCATGTGGTGGTGGTGACGGGGAAGGGGGAGCGATGCTCTTGCTTTTGGGGTACTCAGCGCACAGCTGTAGAGCTAACACACAGAAAATGCGCGGTTTGCCCTGGCTCAAACTGACTGTCCAAAACAAAACTCGGTTCTTTTCCTCCTACAAAAGTAGTAGATTAAGAATGGTCCCCGTAACGACTCTTTTGAAGTCTAGCTCCGAAACCGAGGGGTTACATAAAGCCGAGGGGACCTCGATTTACGACTTGTTGAAATTTGACCTGAAAAAACGTTGCTGCTGTCTCTTAAGTGGTCGAATGAAGTTACTTGACTTTACCTGTTCCTTGTCAGTGACTAGTTTCTGCAAATGTGGTGCTAATGGAATATTTTCTGATATTTTAATTTTTTTTTTTTTTTAACGTTGTCTTTGTTGGTGCTAAACTGAGCTTGTTGTTAACGACACTGAGGTTGAACTACTGCATGATTAGCGCATAAGAAATTTTGGTAATTCTTTGCATCTGGATTTTTTAATCACTGTAAAAGCGCACTTTCATTGTGGTTTCCTTTTATGCTTGCTGTACGCATGTTTTCACTTGTTCTCAAGTCTTTATTTTCAAAGTTTTCAGTTGAGGGTAAGTAGAGATGAGTTTTTCCCCCCCTCCCTCTATAGGCTCTTCAGAGCAAACCAATCTAAGCTTAGCAAAGCGGCTCTTCTCAGGCAATTTGTAACGTACGACCCGAATTCTGACCTAACCCGGGAGGGGGGAGATTAAAAAGGGGGAAGGGGCGGGTCTCACAAAGATGAAAGAAATAACATTTCCACCGTAGCTTTGGGAGAGGTGTTTTCCTCGGGCCTTCAGTGACGGCGTCAATGCCGTGGGCTAACGTATGCCAGAATTAGGCTTACGATGCGGCATTTGCAGTTACTGTAAAGGCTTAAAAAAAGCGAGCGTAATGAACCTTCTCTTCATTGTGACTTTTCTGGCCAGTCTTGGAATGCTAAATGTTGTGCACATGTTAACGCTCGTTTCTCTGAACCCTGTTATTTTATACAGCCGTAAGTTACATTGCATGACCTTCTGACTGGTTTTATGTTGTCGTTTCTGTTCTTTTTAATGCCTGCGTGTGGGGGGCAAAGGAGGGGAGGAGAGGGTGGCCCGTACGCGAGAGCATCTCGCCCCTCGGCTAACTTGTACACAAATTGCCTGAGAAACGCTGTAGAATGGCGTTCCACGAGTGGGGTTTAGCTCTTGTAGCTGGGTTCTCTTTTTTAACTCAATCTCAAATAATAGGGCTCTGGTTATTTTGCAGAGTGTCTCTGAAGAATGGACAGAATTGCCATGGCTAACTACAAGCTACAGTTCACAGTGGACAAACGTTGTAGTTTTCTTATTTACTTTTATAAATATTTTTTTCTTTTGCTTTTTTATATCTTGTAGTTTCCAATCAGTCCTGTATGATTGCTGTTGTACAAATGCACTTTAAATGATGTGTAATATGTAGTTTAAGACGTGAATGTTTCGGTGTTTTCTTTTCTTCAATAATTTCTGAAAATGTCAATCTCTCAAAATTTACAGCTGCCCACAGTCCAAAAAGGGGGTAACGAATTGACCTGAGAAAATTAAAGAATTCAGTTAACAGGCGACGTATGCCTTTTAATTCCTATCTTTTTTTCATTTTTTCTATTTAATATTTTGAATGAATAGGTAGAATGTGTTGGCAAATAGCGAGTTTAAATTGCATGGTTAAAGAGAGCCATTCAGCTAATGTTAGTCAGCTACGTGCCTTAAGTGATTCTTTTGAATAGCTGCTTTGACCATGCTTTGTGTCTTAACAGTCTGTAAAAGCATTTTGAAGCAGGAGCCGACTGTCGTAAAGTACATATGTTTGTTAGAGAAGCTATTGATTTGCATGTTTACACAATTAAGTTTAATTTTGCTACTACCTGGCAAAGCGTTAGTAAAGTTCTGTTTAGAAAAGAAGCCTTTTGCTTTGACTGTGTTGCTGGTGCAATAAACAGTTGACGTTAGTCAAGGTGAAACATGAAAATAAGCTGTACGTGTGACTCGAGTTGTCGTTTTTAGTAAGGTCGTCTTTTGGCGGCGCTGAACTGGCTCTCGTTTCTGCTTTTTAGAGACGCGCGTGTGGTTAAGGACATGGCGACGGGAAAATCTAAAGGATACGGCTTCGTTTCCTTCTTCAATAAGTGGGTAAGCTGCAGCACGGTCTCGAGCGCCCCTGAAAAGCGGACAGGGGGAAGGAATAATACCGTCGGTCCCGATCTCTGTCCGGCTTCCATTTCCCTGCCTGCTGAGGGGGAGGCTTTTCTCTCTGTTCATCGAGACACTCTGCTGTCGCTTTAGCGTTTCTAAAGCACGTGGCAAGCGACGTCCGAATGAGCGATGTACAGACGTGACGGAGCGACGATACGTCCAGCGTGTATCAAGAGAGTCTTGGGTGCGCGCGGGGAGGCCTGACGGCATCCTTCATCCTGCCTAAATCTGCTTCTTTTGAAGCAGGATTTCTTTTGGCACGTGGCGAACGTCGGGCAGGGTGGGCGCGCGGTGATTTCATTCATTTGGCTCTATGGCAAAAGGAGGAGATGCCGATGGTGGGGTTTTCTGCTCTCCCTCTCTCGTGGACAGGATGCAGAGAATGCGATTCAGCAGATGGGCGGTCAGTGGCTCGGTGGAAGGCAAATCAGAACGAACTGGGCGACAAGAAAACCTCCGGCTCCAAAGAGTACATACGAATGTAGGTTCTCGATCATTTGCGTCTTAGCAAATGTCCTGCCGCACCCAGGAGGAGAAAGAGAAAAGGGCGAGCTGCGAGCCTTGGAGATTGCGGGAGGAGGGAAAGCGGGCACTAAAGGCAGGCAAAGGCTCTCTTGAAGAGTTTCACGCCTCCTGAATAAAGCGGCTTCCTTCGCTACGGCGACTGTATTACCGCTGCGGGGTGGCGGGGAGGGGGATTCTGTCGGCTTCTGCATGCTCAGGTTGGAAGCTTGCTTTCTCTCTAGACAGCCAGGACGAGCTCTGGCTTTTTAACTGTGCTCCCTCGCTTTTAAGGCTTTACGCCCTGATACAAAATGGAACCGTGTCAAAGAAAGCATTTCTGTTGGAGAGATCTTAAATCGGGTATATTGGACCTACTTGATAGGCGTTCGCAGTTTGCGCTCGACATCTCGTGTGCCCGCCAGGATTAGAATTTCTACGTAATGCATGTCTGATCCACTGAAAAGCTCTGTAAAATCTCTTTAAGCAAACGCCAAACAACTGTCTTACGACGACGTGGTCAATCAGTCCAGCCCGAGCAACTGCACCGTGTACTGCGGAGGTGTTACTTCGGGACTGACAGGTATTGTGGCTTCCAGCTACCGTCGCGTTGGACGTTTATGAATAACTCCGCAGTCGCCTCATTTCGCCGCTCTGTTTGTGTTTGCTTCCTGCTCCAGAACAGCTAATGCGCCAGACCTTTTCTCCCTTTGGGCAGATCATGGAAATTCGCGTCTTCCCGGATAAAGGCTACTCCTTCGTACGGTAGGCTGTCGTGCGGTTTGCGTGTTGACGGCTTTAACGAAAATTGTGGGTTCGGACACTTTTGGTGTCAGCGGAGCGCGGGTGGGCGCATGCCGAGCTGGAGGGTATGCTTTGCGGCGGCCCTCTCGGACCGCAGCCTGATCTGAGGAGGGAGTTACGGCTCGTGGCGCTTTCGGCAGGAGTGGGAAAAAAAACTTAAACCCAGTCTAAAGCGGCGCAGTGCCTGTCGTCGTTAAGAGATCTCTGTCTGTTCCTCTTGTGTAATTTCACAGTGGCGTTACTGAGGCAGACGGTCGAGTTTTAGAGTCTTTTCCAGAAGCATCCTTGTCTCTCTGGTGCGTGCGGCTCCGCATAATAGAAAGGAATTGTAAATTGACTTGCTCTCATTGCTACTGAATTTTTCACATTTGTTTAGGGAGAGTTAGGACACTGAGATGGGAAAAGTGACCGTCCCTGCCGCCCACTGCGGGGGTGACTGGAGGAAGTTTCTGCTGTCGGGCTGGTGTTCGCGCAGAGCCCAAATCCATGCTGAGCTAGCGGGGACTCTCTCGGGGTCGATTCTGGCTGCGGCTCGCTGAGCGAGTTGTTTATATTGGCACAACTTACTTTTCGACAGGTTTAATTCTCACGAGAGCGCAGCGCATGCCATCGTTTCCGTCAACGGAACGACTATAGAAGGACACGTAGTGAAGTGCTACTGGGGCAAAGAGACGCCAGACATGATCAGTCCGGTCCAGCAGGTCAGTACTTCTCCTCTGCTAAAGACAATGGCTTTGCTAATGAGTCCTTGCTAGAAACCCATTAAACGGCTGTAATGTCTGTGCGCGTGCCGGTTGGAGGCTTGGTGTCACGCACCTCGCCTACCTCACAGCTTCTTTCATGAGAGCATGCGTCTCTGAGGCGCAATCCAAGCTAAAAGCTTTCTCTGGCGCGAAGGCAGCCGGAGCTGCTGCTCCTGTTCCCTGGATCTCTGCCGACGGCCGCGTTGTTGACCGGGGTGGGGGCGGCAACGGGTCGCTCTAGTAACTAGAGGCTCGCCGACTCAAAAGGGGTGCCCGACTGAACGTCCGCACGGCCATTTCGGCGTCGTTTTAGCAAGCAGACTCATAAGCCCCCCTCAAAGACGGACTCGGCAGCGGGGAGCAGCGGGGTCTGACGAGGTGACGTAAATCGCCGCTTCCTCGGGCGCCGCTTAACAGCCGGGTGTTTGCTCTTGCAGAACCAGATCGGCTACCCGCCGGCGTACGGGCAGTGGGGCCAGTGGTACGGCAATGCCCAGATCGGCCAGTACGTGCCCAATGGCTGGCAGGTCCCCGCCTACGGGATGTACGGGCAAGCGTGGAATCAGCAGGGCTTTAAGTGAGTATTGGGGCTTTTTGTGACCGTTTCCCTCCCCCCAGGGGAGGCAACAATCCGAGTCGGTAGCAGCGTAAAAGCTGCCGAGACGTTCCGGTCCTCCGTTACTTGGAGATTTGGGACGCAGAGCGTGCGTATGCGTCCCAGACGGCCCCGTGCCGAGAGCGAACCCGTTAAGTTCTCCCTCATTACCCGCGCATTTGCCTAACGAACTGTTTTTTCTGCCCTCCCCCCCGCCTCGCCGACAGTCAGACGCAGTCTTCAGCGGCGTGGATGGGCGCCAACTACGGCGTGCAGCCGCCGCAGGGGCAGAACGGGAGCGTGATAACCAACCAAACGGGATACCGTGTGGCGGGCTTCGAAACGCCCTGAGGAGGAGAGGACTCCGAAAGCAGCCGGCTGGAGCCGTTGTCGACCGGCAAGATTTATCAGATCAAGTGTTGGATGCGATGTATTTATTTGAGAGGGAGAGAGAAACAAGGCGGGGGGGGGCGGGAAGCATTTTTAATCATGAAATTGTCATCCGCATTGTTAAAAAAAAAAAAAAAAAGAAACAACAACAAAAAAAAAGAAACAACAACAAAAAAAAACAAAACACAAAACAAAAATCACACGAAACGAGATGCTGGATGTCTGCCAACTTTTGCCTTCCTTTTCCTCCTTTATGTGTTTCTTAAGATCCACGTTTTTGAAACACAGCAAATGCAGGGACTACTGCCACTGAAAAACAGGGGCAGCAAATTGCACAATGTCAAACCTTTTTTGTTTTTCTTTTCTTTCCTCGGAAGTCGCGTGCCGTTCTAGTTTGCATTCCGAACGATTTAAAATGTATTATAAACCGTTGTACAAAAAAAAAAAAAAAAAAAAGCCAAAAGCGTGTGAATCCTGAAGCCGTCGCGTCTTCAGCCTTTGCACCCTCTGTTTTAAAAGAGCCTCTTGTATAAAGCCTCCGTCTCCCCGCTTTTGTTACACCGGGTTTTTGCGACGATAAATTATTAGTTTACAGCGTTTTTTTGTATCTCAGCGTGTTTTTCAGGGTCGTCTTTGCCGTATGACGGGAAAGGGGGACGCCCGGC